GAGGGGGAAAGGGCGGCAGGGACCGGGGGGCGAGCAGGCCGGAGGGGGGCAAGGGGGAACGGAGGAGGAGAAGCGAGAGGAACCAAACAGGGGCGGAGGCCGGGAGCGAGGAACAGGGACGCGGAGGAAAGCGGGGGGAGAAGAGCCCAAGGCAGGCGGCGCAGAGCGGGGGAGGGAGACCAGGGCAAGGGGACAGAAAAAGAAGGGGAGGGAAGGAGGAACACGGAGGGGGGCACAGGAAGGGAGGACAGAGGGCGGGCGCGGGGGAGCCGAAACAAGGAGAAGAAAGGCAAGGGACAGGGAGGCAAGCGCGCAAACCAGCCGCAAAGAAAGAAGAAAGCAAAGAGAGAAAAGGGGAACCGCCAGGGGGGAAGGGCAAGCACCACGCCAAGCCGCGAACGCAGGGGGAGCCAAACAAAGGGACCACAAGCAGGGAGACAGGGGAAAGGACCAGCCCAGGGGGCAAAGGGCAACCGCGCGGGGAACGAAAAAGGAGAGGAAGCAAGAGAAAAGAAGGGGAGGCACGGGGACGCACGGGGAGGGCAAAAGCAGGCAGGAAAAGGCGCGAGAGGGGGGCCAGGGGCGAGGAAGGCCGGACGGCGAGAGGGGGAGAAAGGGGGGGCCGCCAGACAGCCAAGAGGCCGGAAGGGGGAGGGGACGAAAACGGGAGGGAGAGAGAGAAGGAAGCACGGGGAAGGGAGAAGGCACAGGGGAAAACGGCGGAGGGAAAGACGACGGGCGCAAGGGGGGGGGCAAAGGCAAGGGGAGGGCACGGGGGCGGGGGGCAAGGGGAAGGGGAGCACAGAAGGGAAGGGGGGGCCAAAGAGGGAGGAGGGGGGCAGGGAGAGGGGCAGGGGCCAAAGAAGAAAAAAGAGGGAGAAGCGGAGGGGCAGAAGGGGGCGACGGACCACCACAAGGCAGCGAAAGCAGGACGGGAGAGGCCAGGGAGGGGCGGGGGAGCCGGAAGCGCGAGGAGGAAAGAGGGGGGCGGGGGACAAGGCAAACAAGAGGGCCGAAAGGGAAGAGGGCGCAGGGGGGGGAAGGAGACCAGCCAGAAGGGGGAAAGGCAGGAGGGGGCAGGAGACGGAAGGCCGGACGGGGGGAGGGGAGGAGGAGGAGGGGAGCGACGCGGGGCAAGCAGCCCAAGAAAAAGGGCCAGGAGCGGGAGAAAACAGAAAGGGAGCGGGCGACGGGGGCGGGCACGGAAGAGGGGAGGCGAGGACGAAGCCGGGGCAAGAAGGGGGAAGAAGAAGAACCAGGACACAGGGAAGCCAAGAAGGGGAAAGAGGGGGCGCAGCACAAGGCCCAGAACGACAGCCGGAAAACAGCAGGGGGGGAAGAAACAAGAAGGCCAAGAAGAAGGCCAGGCGAGAGAGGAAAGAGGAGAGGGGCCAAGGGCAAGGGAGAGCAGGGAGCGAAGACAAGGCGGACAAGAGGCGAGGGCGAAGCAGGGGCAAGAAGGGGAGGAGGAGGCGGCCCAACAGAAGGAAGAGCCAGCAAGAGGACCAAGGGGGCCAAGCACAAGGCCCAAGGCCAAACAAGGAAGACAACGCGGCAGGGGGGAGGGCAAAGAGGGGGGAAAGCCAAGGCAAGCCCAGGGGCAAAAGAGGAAGAAGAAGGCAAGGCGGGGAGAAGGGGGGAAGGGCGGAGGGGGGGAGGAAAGGAGGCCCAAAGCAGCCCGAGGAGGGGGGGCAGCAGGAAGGGAAAGGGGGGGCAGAAAAGAGAAAACACGAGGGGGAGGGAGAAAGGAGGCCGGAAAGCCGGGCGAAAGAAAACGCGAGGGACGGGGGGCGAGAGGAGGGGGAGGACGCGGGGCCCAGGGGAGGGAGAGGACAAGGCGGCCCGAGACCGAGAAAGAGGGCACAGCCAGAGCAGGGGGAAGCAGGCGGGAAGGCAAGAAAAGGCGGAAGGGGGCGGGACACGGGGGGAAGAAACCGGAGGGCGAAGGGGGGACGCAAGGAGGGGCGAGGCGGGGACGCGACGAGCAAAGGGAGGCGGGGACGCGAAGCAAGCGGACGGGCGGCAACCGGAGAGGGAGGGGCGGGGACGCGGGCGGGAAGCGAAGGAAACGAGAGCCGACGCGAGGGGAGGGAAGAGGGCAACAGCGAGGGACGGGAAGCGACAGGGGAGGCGGCCAAGGCGGGGAGGAGGCGAGACAAAGGGGGGCGCGGGAGGGGAAGGGAGGGGGAGCCAGCGCGAGCGGGACAGGGAGAGCAGGCGGGGGACAAGACGCCAGCGGAGGGGAAGCCGGGGACGAGGGCAGAGCAAGGGGGGAGGCAGAGCCGAGGGGGGAGCGCAGGAGAAAGGGGGGGGCGGGGGGGCCCGAGGGGAGCGCGGGCGGAGCGGACAGACGACGGGGGCGGGGCGGAGGCAGAAAAAAAACCCCAAAAAAAGGGCCGGGGCAGGCGGGAGGGGGGCGGGAAGCGGGAGACAGGGGCGCCAGGGCGGGAAAAACAAGCCCGAAAGAGGGGGCCGGGGGCCCGGCCAAGAGCAACGAGACCGCACACCGCCGAAGCACCAGAGGACCACAAAGGCGGGCAAGAAAACAACCCAGCGCACCCGGACCGAGAGCCAAAGCGCAGGGACGCGCAAGCACGGCGCAAGCACACCCGGGCCAGAGGGCCGCGAGCGGGGACCAGGGGCAAAGAAGGACCGAGAGCGCGAGAGCCACGGGGGAGGGGAGCGGAAAGGGGGAGAGGGGGAGAGAGCGGCGGGGGCGGGCGGGGAGAGAGGAGACACGGGCGAAGGCCGGACGGGCAGGGAGAGAGGGAGCGGCGAAGGAAGGGCAG